TTACTAACACTGTGTCTGAATTCACTCACTACTCACAATATAATCCACCATTGTGAAAAGTGCATCTTGAAAAGTAATTTCCAACTGATGGTCACAAGTAAAACAGAAAAGCCTTCATTGAAAAGAACTGACTGTCGTAATCTCTGTTTATTCATGTGTGTGAAAATAAACCTGGTATAATAAGAACCAACTAACATTGATATCACATGTTTTGAATGTGCAACGACAATAACGTACTTACAGGCAGAGAAAAAAAAATCATTAGTGAGGAGTAAATTAATTAAAGTACTGAATGTAAAAATCAAGCTCCTTCCTTCACAATTACTTCCTTCGATGTTTTCTTTCTGTCGCATCCCTGATTGGCACGTCTCTCATACGTTTCTCTCCCCTCTCCTCCCTCTCCTCCACACCTTAGGAGTAGTGTGAGCATACAGGACCCCTTCTCTGAGGTGAGCGACCCGGCCTTCGTAAAGCGTGCTGCCTCCCTGCCCCCCTCAGCTCCCTACCAGCAGGGCCTCAGCATGCCTGACATGATGATGAGGATGCAGTACGACGCCAAGGACCCCTTCGCCGGGATGAGGAAGAGTGAGTGAGGCACACGCTGTGACGCCCTTTCACCCACACGCTAAGGCCGGGACCTGTTTTGTGAATAAACTGTCATTTTCGCCCCCAAAAAACATTTTGATCGTGAAAATGTCTGACGCATCCAAAAGCCATTGTTCTTTCGTCTGCCTCGTTGGTCTAATTCATTGTCTCGTCACCATGTTGTCTCACATCAGGACAGATGTGTGTGTTTTTACCACTAGAACTATGAAAGGAGCTGAGAACCGTTTGTTACACCACACTTCCCTTTATTGAAAACACACCAGCCCGTCTGATGTTCGTGTATCTTAGCCTTCGTCTCATCCTAACTTTGTTAGTTCTTTTCATCCTCCTCGTTTTCAACCTTTCATCCTCTCCACCCCGCTGAGAAGCACCTGTTTTGACCAACTCATGTGGTTTAGTTTTCAGAACAAACGGCAGTTTTAGAAAGGAATCGCAGCTCCTCTGAAGGCTGAGGCGAATGGAGTCTGAATGAATAATATGGTGGATGTTAGCTGCATAACAACGGTTAGATGTAATCATGGAACTTGGCGGATATTCATAGAGGAATGCTGCCATCTGCTGGATAGGAGACGACATAGTGTGCTGTTAAAGGAGCAAGTTGAAAAACAGGATTAAGTCTCTGTTGCATTTCATAAATATAGATATATTTTTCTCTTCAGTTTTGTTCATGATGTTGATATTTTGCCTTCTTCCTGCACAGTGGCTGGAGCCGATCCCTACATACCAGGTCAGATGCCTGGTGGTGGTATGCAGGACATGTATGGTCGACCCCCATCATCTCTGAGCATGAGCCAAAGATCACAGTATCCATACGGGCCAGGCTACGACAGGAGGTAGGTTCACCTTCCACCAGGACAGTTTTATTTAATATGTGCTTAACCATGTGTTTATAACAGTGTTGTGTTGTGAGTAATATGAGGATATCACTGTTGTGTGATCCTCAGACCAGACCATGTGATGGGGATGGAGGGGAGCATGGGTCCTCCTGGGAGTCAGAACAACCTGGGGCCGTCCAACAGCGAGGGCAGCATGTACTCTGCCAGCAGATACCCTTCACAGCAGAGGTCAGCATCTGTGTTTTCACAGAATATACATTTTAAGTAATACCAGATATCTGTGAGTGATTTATATCCTCTCCCTCTTCTCCTCTATTTCAGACACGACGGCTACGGTCAGCAGTATCCCAGCATGCCATATGGGATGCATCCATCTGGGATGTACCCACAACAGCAGGTGAGAGGCAGCTCGTACCTCTGACTACTGAATACAGTAGACTTACAGTGTTCACTTCATGTATTGAAGGAACACGAGACAGCCTAGAAAAACATCCTAACTCAACCAATTCTGAACAGATGTTATACAATGTAGGAATTCATTTTAAATTATTTAAGTAATCAATCATATTGATCTTGCAGTAGACTTACTGAGTTGGATCACGTTCATGAAGTATAATCTACGGTCCATTGAACATTCAATGAGTGTTATCAAAGTAATAGTTGTGCGGTTCATTACTTCTTCTTAGTGTCCTGGTAAAAGCAGTGTTATTAAACTGATTGTTCCAAATAAGTATTAGAAACATTCTGAACTGAGTTCAAACCCTATTATAGTCACAACCAAATATAATTTGTCATAACTCTAAAGTCCACAACAGATGTTATGTCACTCGTTTGCTCGAGGTGCACAGTGGTAGTGTTGTACAGTTTAAGGCCTCACACAGTGTTTGTGAAATAATTTTGGGGGGGTGTTCAGACACACTAGATATAAAAATGTTTCTCAACACCTCTCATAGTTTTACTGCTTTGTTTGAATATTACACATATTATGACCAAAGCAATACACTGGGAATAAATCTACCAGATCTAACAAAAAGATATCTGCCAACTTTGCTTCAGCAGGGCTACAAACGGCCCATGGACGGTATGTACGGACCCCCACCCAAGAGACATGAGAGCGACATGTATGCCATGCAGTATGGTAACCAGCAGCAGGACATGTACAACCACTACAGTGGTGGATACTCAGGCCCTGAACACAGAGCCTTACAGGGACAGTTCCCCTACCCTTACCCCCGCGACCGTATAGGCCCCTCAGGACAGAGCCAGCACAGTTTGATGGGCGGGGGTCCTACTCCTAACCATGCTGCTGATGGGCCCAACATGTGGCCATCCAGGACAGACCTGGGCTATCCCTACCCCAACCGACAGGGGCCGCCATCTCAAATGCCACCGTACGGCTCCATTGGTAGAGATGACATGGACGGGCGGCCTGGGCAGGAGCAGTGGCACCGTCATTCTCCCTACATGTCGTCAGCAGGTGGCATGCCACCCTTGTCACGCCAGCCATCCTCTTATTCCAACTCCCCATCCATGGCCAACCACCTGCCCAGAGCACCCAGCCCAGGGGCCTTCCAGCGCTCCCTGGACTCTCGGATGTCACCCAGCAAAGTACAGTTCATGTCGCCCATGAAGGTGCCTAAGCCTGGGATGGCCATGATGGGCTCACAGGGCGGTGGATCCCTGGGTCAATTTCCTCCAAACCTGAGGAGGGACCTCAACTACCCACCAGGATCAGTGGAGGCCTCCATGCCCATCCTCAAGCCCCGTCGTAAGCTCACCTCCAAGGAGACTGGTGAGTTGGATTTCTGATATGTTGTAAATTCAGTGCAGTATTTTCATGATCCAATAAAACACAATACCTTAGATCAGCAGCACAAGTTCAAATAATTCCAATGATCTATTCTCTTCAGTGTCCCTTCTGATCAAGTACAAGTCTGATCTTTTTTTTTTTTCTCTCCCTGCTTCTAACACATCCCACTGTTTGAAACCCCAGGAACGCCTGAGGCCTGGCGCGTCATGATGTCTCTGAAGTCTGGGCTGCTGGCAGAGAGCACATGGGCTCTAGACACCATCAACATCCTGCTGTATGACGACAGCACTGTGGCCTCCTTCAACCTCTCTCAGGTAAAACCAATAAGATGGCTACACCTCGCTGCTGACTGACAGAGATCTGGCAGTGAAGCATGCTGGGACAGGGTGACAATGTTTCACTGCTTGACCCCAGTCAGACCTGGTATTAACATCCGTCCTGAGTCATGCAATTACAAGTGGTCAGCTCTCAGTTCAGATCTGAATGCATCCTGAACACATCCTGAGAACCGATCACTTCTGGAGGTGGTCTGGGACGTATGTGGCCACGTTTCTGTGAACACAAATCCGCTTTCTCTCTCTGTCTCTCTCTGTCTCAGGCCGACACAGACACAAACATTACTTATGTGATTATTTGTATGAGATCTGAACACACGTGGTCACAGGAGACACATTCAGGACACATTTTAATACCAGGTGTGAACATATAAACTTAAAGTTATCCACTCGTGATACCAGGTGTGATGAACAGGGCCTTTAAGCTCGTAGATAAATCTTTTCTATTTCTCAAAGATTATTTGAGGGGGAAATGTTTTTTCCATAGATTATACATTTTGAGTACAGTATTCACTAACACTAATCTAATGCCCCTCTGCTTAAATTGCTGACTGATGATATTCTATCTTTGTCTGACTAGTTGCCTGGATTCCTCGAGCTCATCGTGGAGCATTTCCGCCGCTGCCTGATCGAAATCTTTGGCATCCTGGAAGAGTTTGAGGTGGGAACCATTGCTCATAAAAACTTTTTGGATGCTCCTTCTAACCAGAAGGAGGAAGAACCCATCCCTGAGCAGGAAACAGATTTTGCTGTTCAGCCTGAGTCCGAGTCAGCCTCGGCAGTAGAAACGCAGGTGGAGCAAACGGGAGGCGTCACCAAGGAAGCTCCAACCGTTGCTGCAGAGCCAGAGTCTGCTGTGGTGAACGGTGAAAAGGAGGAGTGTGAGGCGAGCAGAAAGGAGGACAAGAATAAGGAAGACAGAGAGAAAGAGGGGAAAGAAAAAGAAGAGGGTGAAAAAGGCGCAGAGAGTAAAAAGGAGTTTACGGAGCAGCCTGTCACTGAGCTAGAACCTAAACCTCAACAAGCCAGCAAATACGATAAGCTCCCCATCAAGGTTGTCGACAAAGAGGACCTGATTGAAGACATGACAGAGCGCTTGGGTTACATCACTGAGTTCACCAGTGGGCTGCTCCACTGGCAGGCCGGTGGCGGAGACTCCACCGCACACATTCAGACACACTTTGAACCCCGGACTGCTCCACCTGCCAGAGAGGATGAGAAAACAAGAAAAGAGGACAAGCAGGAAAACAAGATGGAGGACGGGAAGAAACAACCACTGAAACATATCACCGCTACGATTGATGATGTTTTGTGTGCTCGTGTTGACGCTCTCTCTTACGCCCACCCTGCACGCTCCTTGCCATCCTACCCCTTCCGGGTGCACCCAGATGGGGAGCAGGACCACATCACCCTGCTGGAGGATGAGCCCCGCTGCCTGGACGAGGCTCCGCTCTCCACAATATCCGCCTGGCAGGACTCGCTGTCCAAGCGGTGCCTCTGCGTCTCTAACATCGTCAGGAGTCTGTCCTTCATCCCTGGCAACGACTTGGACATGTCACGCCACCCTGCCCTGGTTCTTCTTCTGGGCAGGCTGCTCCTGCTGCACCACCAGCACCCTGAGAGGATGAGGTTGCCCCCTAGCTTCCAGAGAGACGAACAGCAGGAGCAGGGGCTGTCGAGTAGCAAAGAAGAGTGGTGGTGGGAGTGTCTGAGTCTGCTCAGAGAGAACGCCATGGTCACACTGGCCAACATTTCCGGACAGCTGGATCTCTCGACCTACTCAGACACCATCTGCCTCCCCATCCTGGACGGCCTCCTCCACTGGATGGTGTGCCCCTCTGCTGAGGCCCAGGACCCCTTCCCATCAGCAGCGCCCCACTCCCTGCTCACCCCTCAAAGGTTGGTGCTGGAGTGCCTCTGCAAGCTGAGTATCCAGGATGGCAACGTCGACCTCCTGCTAGCTACGCCGCCCTTCAGCCGACAGGAGAAACTGTTCACCGTCCTGCTCCGTTACGTGGGACAAAGGAAGGCGCAGGTGTACAGGGAAATGGCGGTGGCTGTCCTCTCCCACCTGGCACAAGGAGACCCCACAGCAGCACGTGCCATAGCCATGCAGAAGGGCAGTGTGGGTAATTTGGTAGGTTTCTTGGAGGATGGTGTTAGCATGGCGCAGTACCAGCAGAACCCTCACAGCTTACTGCACATGGGGCATCCCCCTTTGGACCCGCCGAGCATAAACATGATGTGCAGAGCAGCCAAAGGCCTGTTGGCCATGGCTAAAGTGGAGGAAAACAAAACGGAGTTTGCGCTGTTTGAGAGCAGATTGTTAGACATCTCCATTTCCTCGGTGCTCAGCGCTGGAGTGGCGGCCATTATTTGCCAAGTTCTCTTTCACTTGGGGAAATTATGACAGGAGGAGAGGCAGGACTCGTGTGGCAGACCCTAACAGTGTATGAGAAATTTCTGTGGTTTTCTATTTTTATTTATCAAAATGACAGAAAATGTGTGTTTTGTTTTTTTTAAAGGAGTATCCACATAAACAAAATATATATGTAAAGCGTCTGGGCCCTGTTAAAAAAGTGGGTTCAGGATTTGAAAGCTCAGTTTATTACAAATATTTAATACCTGCTGGTGTCGGATTGCTACGTTTAATTTTTTGGTTTGTTTGGCATATTTGTTTCTGTTTGTTTACTTTTTCAGCCAAAGCTGCCACCAGATGTTGGTGCTGAATTACATGGTTCCTTTTGAGTCGATGAGTCATCGAGATGTTTTTCAGTTTTATAAATGCTAATAAACTCATCAACATTTTGTTAATGGAGAGTATTTATTTAAAATGTGACACTGTACAGTAGTTTGAACTTTTTTGCCAACAGTTGCGGGGGAGAGAAATGCTGACTTTTTAAAATGAAATGTATACGTCTCCATCGCTGGAAGATAAAATTGTGCAATAGGACTCGAGCAAGTTGTCCGTTCTGAGAACCAGAAGAAAACGTAAATCTGCAGTGTGTGCTTTAGGCCATGAGGAGGCAGCATTGCACCAGCCAATCAACATGAGAGCAGAGCGTCTGTCAGAGGAAGAAGTGTCTAATTTATCAATCATAGCCTCAACAACTTTCACAGAAGAACTTTGTGTTTCCTAAGCACTTGTGTCATGTCTGTATTTTTTCATCATTGTGTATATAAACCGTTGTACAATGGACGCACATGATTCTTTCAGTCTCTATCAAGCATAGCAACAGATGGGACTTTCTGACTAATATAACAAATGCTTTTATTGTTGGTAAAATTTGTTATTGTTATTATACATATTTTGTTAATGGGGTCAAATATTTGAACATGGCAGATGTAACTGATGTTTCAATGTAAAAAAAATCCTGTATGCATTGTATTATAGCTGAGAAAACAATCGCTTTGGTAATCAAACGTGGAAGTGCCAGGGTGAGAGGATATCTAGGCGAGGTTACAGAAGCAACCTGAACACATTTCTGTTTGTTACTGTCCTCCATTCATGTCAAAGGGCATATTTTTTTCAATCTAGATAAATGCTCTAAAAGAAACGTCTGAAAAGATCATTCAAAATGTCCTGAAGCTCATTGTAAAAAAAACTTGCCTTTTTTTCGTATGACTCCATGTCTCTCTTTTATTCAGTATACACATTTATACTCTGTGCTGCACATGTCACAAAATAAATGTACGATGAACATCGTTAAACACCGGAGGCGTTGCATTATGTCCAGACAATCTTAGGCCAATAAAACAAACATCAACTGCTTACGTGACCTGCCTGTTATTGAATTTCATTCAGGATAAACTGACCACTGTCACTGCGGTGACGTTCCTCCCTTTGCACAGTTCAACAATGACTGAAACCATGTTTCACACAAGAGTCCAGAAGATTCTTGATAGGAGAACCTGACTGTTTCTGTCTGATCACATTATTTGCATCAGTGCAGATATAGGAGCCAGGAGACGTCTGTGCATGTTCAGAATTCTTTACTTTGAGCTCTGATTTCATCTCTAATGACAACGGTAGGGTACCAACTTTATGAAATGATATACATCGTTTTAGTTCAATGTGTTGAACAGCTGAATTAGATACTCCTACAATGAAGAATTTAGAATATTACCTCAACAGTGATGCTGACAATACTTGTATAATTATCAGCATTGCTGTTGCAGATGAACACGAGCTCTGACCAACACTAAAAAGTTTAAAACCACCCTCTCTCTTTATGTGAAAGAAAAGAAAATCCTGCATCTGCACCTTTGTCCTGGACCCACTCATTCTTAAAGGTCCAGTGTGTATGATTTAGGAAAGGGAACTATTGGCAGAAATTAAATGTAGAATAATTCTAATGATGTTTTCATAAGTTCGTTTCATCTAAATTGTATGAATTGTAGTTTTCTTTACCTCAGAAAAGGCCCTTTATATTTAAATACTTTATATTTACATCGAGGGGGCCCTCTCTACGGAGTTTTAATGACAATTAAAGGCTACCACAGTTTTTCATGTTTGGAAGGAGAGGGTGAGGTGAGGGGTGTTCAGTTGCAACATGCAATTTCAACTCTAGATATCACTAAATTCTACACACTGTACCTCTAAACCCACTCTCTCAGATTGTTCATGAACTCAGTCTCCCTCCAGTGTAGAGACTCTTCAACGCTATGATTGAACAATCCTGTCAATATTTAGTTTCACCGTCAACAACAAGCCTTCAGACCTGTGACGTACAGCTCATCTGAACAGTGCGCAGGCGAATTGAATTTAAAAATGAGTCGTTTAACCCATTTATTCACATGACCCTGCTACATTCATGCTCATGTTGAAGTCTCCGTCTGAACTGCAGCACCTTCATCACTGTTCTCATGGGACCACGAACACAAGCATCAGTTTTCATGATGTCGTCATTCACAAAGAGGTCAGTGATCTTTCCACCCCCCCATTCTCTGCATGTGGACGGATCAATACACTTCCTCCACGTGGATTCACATCAGCCTCACTCTGAACACACTGAAAGTCCATGAGGAGGCTAGATTATGAAGAAAGAACCGTAGTAAAGAAAAGATTCAGAACATTTGACCTAACGTCAAAAAGAATGTTGATTTTCTACATTTCTGTTCTGTGTGTTTCTCCTTTCATCTCAGTACATAATGCTAGATTCTTACATTTGTTATGTTTATTATAAATTCCGAACATGCTTCAATAGTGGGTAGTTTTATGTTGTGTTATTCATTGTCTTCATCATGTAAAAGAAAATTTGAGTCATCCAAAGTGCACTCTCATCAGTTTCCTCTTTTGTGCAGCATTTCTCCATCACTAAGTCTTAATTTCACAATATGTCACATATCTCCATGTTCAATTCTTCATTCACTTCTGTGAATTTAAGCATTTATGAATCCTCTTATAACTGTTTTTACTTTCACTCTTAGCAGGCGGGTGTATTATGATCATGGAGTTTGTTTGTCTGGAGCAGTTTTAATCCAATTTAGATTAAATTTGGCAAATCGGAGTTGAGTCGCTGCTGATTTTTTATCTTTCAAAACTGTCAAAGATCAAGGTCACAGCCTGGGATCCACGTCGTCTAATGTAAAGTTAATGCATTGAAAATAGGCTGAAAGCACATATACAGAGACACATTCAAATTCTTTTATAAATTGTATTAATAAATGTTTATTTTCTCCTGAAGCACTGATCTATATATATGATCAATAGTTACACCACACATATGCCCACAAAATAAATACATTAGAACCATTACAATGTTGTTTTCCTGTGATATTATCAACATGTGTTATTAGTTTGCTGAGCTGTGTCCCTCTTATTATTGTCAAGTTATAATAGGTCATAACGTTTTCATCATTTCCGCAATCAGTAACATTCACCTGCACTTAAAAGTTCAAACTTTAAATTATTTTGTACATTTCCACACAGTTGAATATTTGAGAGCGGGTGCAGCTCCTCTCAGTGTGTTTCCAGTTGTTATCATATTTGATTCTAACTTGCACAGTGAGGTCCCATGACTGGATTATATTTAGCCTCAAAAACTGCAGCTTGTTTTAAATAGAAATGTTGGCTGTGCTACAAACCTCTTGATAAACTTCTCCCAATATCACATTAAAAAATAATGTTATTATGACAAATGGGTGTCACGGTGTCACATTCACTTAACACAGTGTTCTAGGAATTGAATCTGCAGTGCACTGTTTTATTATTATTATTGTTATCTTTGTTTGTTGTTGCAGTCGGCTCATCGCCCCCTCGTTTAACGAAGGCGTGCAAATTGTTGCATGTGTAAACACGGACATCAGGTAGGAACTGTAATCTGATAAATGTGTGTGATGCAGGTTCCCTTTCTGCTGCTCTCTTCAACATGAGGATGTTTTCTGGCATCATTTTGTAGTAAAGAAGAAAAAAATCCTACAACCTATTTCTGATCAGAGATAAGTGAGGATCATTGTGAGTTTATCACAATCACTCTGCTACGTTTCATTCAGCTCCTCTGGATAGAGCCCTTCATTTTTTTTTCTCAAAGTGTTGGAATTTGATGTCTCTCTCTTTCTCTCCCGTCCTTTGCCAGAGGGAAATGTGGTCAGAATATTGAGTCCTATTTTAAGCTGCCATTAATAAAAGCATTCCTGAGGTTTGACAACACAGACAATAAACAGCCTCATCACAGGATGTGTTTCAAAGAGGGATTCTCTGCAGTAACGTAGCTCGGCTGCAGATGCTCCATCAGTCATTTTCATCTCATTAAAATCTTCCTGACGCCTTCAAATGAATCACAGCAAACCAGAGAGGTGACTGACAGTTTCAACAACTTCTGTCTAATGATTCCTCGGAGGAAGCAGAAATGATTCATATTCTTAGCTGCATTGTCTTCACATGTGCGCACCTGCACATTCTGCATAGAAATGTGAAGCCCACGTACAGTGTCCCCCCGCTGAGTGTTTTCAATTCCAGCCTGTCATTCAGGGTTGGGAGGGAAGTGGGCTGCTGCACTGTTTCGGTGATGGAGGATGTGTTTCACGTAGGCAGCCGACCGCAGGAGAAAACCTCCCACACTCCTGTGCCTCTGAGAAGCTGAGTCATCGAGCTCTGACAGGATAGATGTGGTGGCTGAGAAGAAGCCCGCCGTCTTCATTGGCTGCTGCTGGGCCGGCTGCTCCGCCCTGCTGCCTCTCACCGCTAAACGTAGGTAGATGAATGAGTTCTGGGTGAAAAGCGACTATGCTGACCTTTCCGGAGATGTGTTACAATGTTTTTTGGCGGTAGACTGCATACGTGATAATTGTGTCCGTAGATTGTACATCGGCCTGTTGATGAGGCTTTAATCCTCTTCTCTCTCGTCCTGTGCGACGCTCCAAACGAAACAATACAGCCTGAATGAGGCCTTGGCAGGATGTGATTCAGGCCTGTGTTGTTCTTGGATTCAGACTCAAAGTCCCTATCATGTCCGCCCGTTTCCCAACACAAACGAGCCGCCCGGGCCAGATGTCATGGCGCTATTTAATGAGCGCCATAGTTAAGGAATTAGTCTGGAGGGCTTACAGATCATTAGCATCCTTTGACAACATCCACAGCTTTCCAACGGATTAAGCACAACATGTGCCATTTGATAGCTTCACATGCCCGGGAGGCCAATCATGCTCCCGGCCAGACTCGCAGAACTGGGAGCTTAGAGTAGAAAATAGATGGACACACAGAGATGCTGTATTTGAAACCATTTTCAGACGAGTCCTGTGGAGGATCTCTGGACTTTTCCTTACATGCACATTGCAGCAGGAGGTCTCTCTGCTCAGACGCAACAGCAACAACTTCTGCCCAGGATTCAGGTGAGGGGTGGTGCAGCAGGCAGATGCAGGATGTACCATGTTAACTGAGCTAAAGGAGATCAGGTGATTTTATTTTATTTATCACCAATCGATCATCACTTCTCATCATCCATCCAACATCCACTTCTGCAGACTTTATTCAAGGGGGCCAGGAGGAGAAAGTCTGCACAAACTCCGGAGGCTCTCACTCAGCCATTTGCGTCACATGTCTGTAAAGCAGCTATTGTGTATGTGATGCTCTATTCCAACCTGAACTCTCTCTTCTTACTTCAGAGGACAAATGCATCAGCCGAGCATGAAGCTACAGGCAGAATAAATGTCTCTTTCTCTTTTAGCGACCCTGAACAATTAAGTCCTCTCACATTACATGAAATTCAGCCAGACTTCTTTTCAGAGAAAGTGGATAATTGTGCGGCTGTGGGAGTGAACGAGCTAAACCACTCCGAACACGATGAGGAGGTGTGTGTGAGTGTGTGCATGTGCCCGTGTGTGTGTAGGTGTTAAAAGGAGGACAGATGACGGAGGAACAGTGGGCCGATGATGCAATCATCTGCGCTCATTGAGATGAATAGGAAATTGCATCACCGGAGAATTGTACTTGGCGTGTGTCTGTTTTCAGAAGAAACACAGTTAAGAAGAAGAACTGCACCCCCATTTAAAGAACCATTTACCGTCAATTACATTTGTTGTCGCCTGACGTCCTGAATCATGTTGACTGATTCAATAATCGACTGTCAAGTCTGTGTTTCAGGGCATTTTGTAATTAACAATTGATTTTACTCACCTGTAAATGAGACATAACATGCAGGGAACTTCTTGTAGTAATGTGTTAAACTGATTTATCGTTTATGTTTCTGAGGAGTTCTGAGGTGGTTAGTTTTAAGGTCCGGATCATGGATGTACTGGACTGAAATAAACTCCTCTGAACA